AAAAAAAAAAAAATTCTTTTTTGTAGAGATAATGCTTCACTGTGTTGCCCAGGCTGGTCTCGAAATCCTGGCCTCAAGTGATCCTCCCACTTCAGCCTCCCAAAGTGCTGGGATTACAGGCATGAGCCACCTTGCCCAGTCTACTGGGCCTTTTTGTTCTCCCTTTAAGATGCCACTAAAATCTCACTACTACTCAGTACCCCACATTCCCATGACTCCACCAGGCAACCTGATGCTGTCCCCACTGCTGGCTCACTGATTTCCAATCCCACCTCCACAAGGCTACTAGTGTCTAAACACAGTGAGCATAATGGAAATATTTCAATAACATTTAGCATACAGGGTACTCTGAATTCTCAAATGTGTACAATCCTCTACTTACCTTCACCAGCTCAACTTCCCAGTCCAGACCCTAGGCTCCAGGTAAATTCAATACCTGTAGGTCCCTGGACACCTCAGAGTGTGGCTTTGTGCTTCTGTGCACATTCTTCCTTCTGCCTAGAGTAGGCTTCCCTACACTGCCTACAAGCAGACTCCTAATCACCCTTTATGTCTAGCTCGAATGAAAAATCCTCTGTAAAGAACCCCTGGTCAACTGGCTGCTCTCTCCTCTGTACACCCTGTTCATTTTGTACATAACATTTTACAGCACTCCTTACACTACTGGAATTATTGCTAAAATATCTGTCTACCCCACTAACGCATGAGATATTTAAGGCCAGGAACTACATCTCCCCATGCATCTAGAATAGTGCCTAGACACAGTAGGTATTCGATAAATATTTGATTAATAAATAAATGTCTTTGATTTTACTACATATTTTTATAGATATGCCAGAAATAAATGTTAGGATCTGGAAAACAAGTACTAACCGATACTGGTGCTCTCTGAATGAAACCAAAGTTTAAGCCCTAACGGAGGCCAAGCATGGTGACTCATACCTGTTAATCCCAGCACTTTGGGAGGCCAAGGTGGGAAGATCGCTTGAGGCCAGAGTTTGAGACC